GGATCCTCCAGTTCTTAAGAACCTTTGGCAAGGCTGTTTTGACAAAGAGAAATCTAAGATGCTCAAGGAACTGCTACTGTTTTTCTGTAACTCTTTCCTCTTCTCCCACACACATTGTTTCCTGTAGCACTTATCACAGCTTCTAAAATGGATAATGGAGCTATATTATGCAGTATCAATCTCTTGCTTGACCATAAGCTGCTCAAGGGCAGGGGACCTCACTTATTAATCTTAGTATCCCCTGCAAGCATCTGGCACACATCTCAATCAACGTACATGGAATTGAAGCGGTTGAATTTATATCCCAGGTCACTGTGCCAGAGCTCAGAATGGGGCTAGAGCTGAAGGCAAGAGAGGAATCATTTATTTCCCACTGCTTAGCTGACTGCTGGCTTCCAAGGAAATTCTAGTCACTGGACAGGCAGCATCCTCCAGCCCCAGGGAGGGCCTTAAGGGTATTCTGTTGGTACCTTTAGTGAAAGTTCTTTCTCCTAGTTCTTAGAGGTAAGGAAAATGAAGCAACCTGTCCTGCATCCTGTTGGTTTACAACCCAGGGCTAGGAGAACTTACATTGGAAAGTGAATCCTTTTCATCTTCTGCTTAGCTGATCATACCTAGACAGACAACGAGTAGCACCACAGAGCTTGGTCCTAATTAAATACAAGCACATACGTTGTTATCTTCCTCCCTATCAAAAGGTGCGAGTCTCACACTTAACTTTTTAGTTTACAAACAGGAAATAGTCTTTTAAAAACTCTCCGTGTATCCAAGCTAGACACTCTGCTGATGCATTATATATATTTGCTTTAAACCTGCCCATAGCCAGACAAGACCAGTAGCCATTTACAGTTGAGGAAACTGAGGTCCGAAGAGCTTAAACGGAAAAGCAAAGATTAGAGGTCACCTTCCTTTTGGTTCGCTCACTATACCACGAAGTTTCTCCTCTTTTCCTCCAACACGCTGGTGGGTCCGCGTGCGTGCGTGACTGTGTCTGCGCTTCCTTTTTTCCCTGCGGAGCCCTCCTTCCTCTTCTGGTCTGATTTCTCGATTCCACTTTTTGGAGACAAAGTCCAGTTCTCCTCCAAGGTCTCACCATCCCCTCACCGTCTCCCTCTGACGTCCCAAGGATGGTCAGCCACTCCCCCGCTAAGTTCGGAGTCTCAGCCCTCGGCTTCAAAACTGGGCTCCGCCCCACCCTCCGGTCCCTGGTCCCCGTCCCCCGCGCCCCTGCGCTCCAGCCGGACCCAGGCCGGCTCCCGGGCCCCGCCTCCCCTACCTGACGCCCGCACGGCCAGGGGCGTCGCAGCCTCCGCCCACCGGCGCGCCTGCCCTGCCATTGGCTCCGCGGGCTGCCCGTCTCCCTGCTCCGTCCTGGAGGCAGGTTTTGCCCGAGAAGCCGCAGTCCCGGCGGCTCGGGCGCAGCACCCGGAGCCCCGTGGAGTCTGGAGCGCGGCTCGCGGACCCGACCGAACATGTCCCCGCGCGCGCGAGCCCCCGGCGGCTGCCGAGCTCCGGCGGCTGCGAACTTAGCAGGGGGCTCCTGCGGCCCCGCCGCGGCCATGTAGTCGCCGGCGGGGCTCCCTGCAGCCCGGGAGCGGCAGCGCCAGTGAGCCAGAGCCCAGGAGCCCGCGTCTTGCCCTGGAGGCGCTGAGTGCGCGCCGCGCCCCCGCCGCCTCTCGGGCAGCACTTTGGGCCGGACAGGGAAATGGGGGAGAAAGTTTCGGAGGCGCCAGAGCCGGTGCCCCGCGGCTGCAGCAGCCACGGCAGCCGGACTCCAGCCTCTGTGGCGGTCGCCGCGTCTTCTCTGGGTGCTTCCTCGGCCGAGTCCTCCTCGGGCTCAGAAACTCTGTCGGAGGAAGGGGAGCCCCGCGGCTTCTCCAGAAAGCAGCAGCCGCTGCCACCGCCACCGCCGCCGCCGCCGCCGCCGCCGCCGCCGGGAGGCGCCCTGGGCGCCCGGCCGCCCGCCGCGTGGGCTCCTGCACGCGTGTTGCTGGAGCGCGGAGTCCCTGCGCTGCCGCCGCCGCCCCCCGGAGGAGCTGCGCAGCCCGCGCCCCGGGGCAGCAGCGCGTCCCAGGAGGAGCAGGACGAGGAGGTGGGCCCCGCCTTTCCCCATCTCGCCCCCTCTGGGTCCCGGCAGCCGGGCGACCCCAGCTTCCCATCCCGCGCAGGCCGGAGAGCGCAGTGGCCTGGAGATGGGGAGGGACCCCACGCGCTCTGCCCCGAGCGCGGGGCAGCGACAGTTAGGAGCCCCCCTGTGGGTTATTGAATTCGCTGTGGTTGTTACCACCTAGTGTATGTCTCCAGGTGCTGCCAGATGATGTGTTTTAAAAATGTCAGAGAAGCAAACTCCTTCATGTCTGTATCTGCCTTGGTCGGTCTGTTTATGGATGTGATGTGGACGCCTGGCATGTCCCCACAACTCAGCTCTCTGATTCTCCAAAGTGGGCGTTGTTTCCCACAGAAGGGTTTGGGCCGAGGGGCGGGGAGTTGAAGGGGAGAAATGGTGCCTTGGAGGTGGGAGGCAGAGGGACAGCGGGGCAGCGGTAGCCGTGGAGTTGCGCGCGGGGGTTTCAATGGCGCTAGCCCCCCTGGATCGCCCGCGGGTGGTTTTGGTGCGTCCCCCCTCTGGGAGAGGAGGACTCCCCGCGCTCCCTCGGCGGCGCGGGCGTGCGCGCCTGCAGCTCCGGTTCAGACTTGTTTCCAGCGTGTAACGCTTGTCACCAAAGCGAGTATGGATGGTCTTACGTTTTGGGGTGCGGAGGGGAGGGGGGTCTGTATCTGCCCAGTTTCCTGGAAGGATGTTCCTCCAGAACTTGTGGGTCGCTTCCTAACATGCTGAGCATAGGACCCTAGTGTCCTCCTGGCTGCTTTTTCCGGCTTATTTTCTGCTTTTGGAGGGCAGTCACAGAAGCGTACGATTCTTCATGTCTTGAAGATTGTTTGCTTTGGACGTTTCTTGTGGGGAAGTCATCTTGATCAGGCAGGACCATAAATAAAACATCACCCTAACATAGACTTATTGTGAAATTATTTCCTGAGTGCCAGCGTTGTATTTTCCTCATCTCGGATGGGATTAGCTTTCGTAAGTAATTGCCTTTTTCCCTTAGAGTAAGCAATCAGAGGCCAGTGCCCTGGCAGTAGCCCCCAGGGTCCCCAGCTTGGAAGCAAAAACTGGATCTGGCACAAGGTGAGACGAGGCGAGTCCTAGCCTGGCAGTGATGGAATAAGCCTTAGCTGCTTAGCTGGTTCTTGGCCAACCCTCCTGCAGTAACCATGACCCATTCCCTAATTCCCCTAACCCCCATTGCAAGGATCCTGATTAAGTGTCTGGAGACTTGCTTTCTAGAACTGTCTCTGCTACTGAGCTTTGAGACCTTGGGTATATCACTTCACTCCTCGAGGTTCAGTTCTGTAATTTGTAAAAGGAGGAACTTTAAGTTGACGTTCAGTTTCACATTCATCAGGAATTTCAGATGAATCCGCAGTTCCAAGTCGATCCTAGCGGCGGGATGTCAGGAGTTTGCTGAGTGCCTCACCCACCACAGAGCTACATCCTGGCGGAGATGACCAAGCCCTGTACTGTCCCAGCGTTCCTCGCTGATTACACCTCCCTTTCAAGATGCGAGGCATGTGTCACGTGTTTGCTCCTTAACTTATCCCTCTACTTCCAGGGATGAGCACACTGGCACTGGGAAGCTGGGGATGTACCCTAACTTAATGATTTACCAATATATCCTAATTTAGCATTGCAGCTGGTAGACGAGAGTAGTTAGTTGCTTTATGTTTTCTGTTTAGCTAGGAGGATGCTGCATGGTAAATGATAAACTTGCAGGTGGAGGGGAGGCATGTTGTCAGGGAACTTCTGATCCCCATTCCGTCGCTGATTTATTGCCTGGCCCCAGAATGACAGTGCTTTGCTTTTTTGGAAGTCGATATAATGATAACTTATTTCACAGGCAGTGCAGTGAGAATTGGTTGATTGAAACACATTTTGGAAAGTGGAATAATTACATAACATGGGTCACTATTTGTGAAATCTCAGAATTGCATATAAACTGATAGAGTATTGCAGTTTATTATGTAGCTTAACCTGTGGCATGGGATGCTGGAAATTGCCCAGGAGCAAAATCTTGACTTGCTCTGAGAATTTTAAAGTGAAACTAAAACCAAACCATGTAGTTTTTTCCCGTCTTGTGGAGTAGAGGAGGGATAATCTTTGTGAAAGGGGTTGAAGTCCAGTGCATTTTCTGGTTCTTACACTGGTGATGGTATGGGGCAGGGGGTCTTCACCATTTGTGGGGTTGTGGGCCTCTTTAAGGATCAAATGAAAACTCTCTTGTTCCTCTCCTCAAAAAGCACACCAGAGGATTTGGGAATGCCAGGTAATAAACACACAGTTTAGTGGAAAGATTTTGATCTGACTTCTAGCTCTGCCACCTTGACCAGCTGTGGGATTGTGGACCATTCAACTTCTGCAAGTCTCAGCTTTCTTACCGCTTAAATGGGAATAATAGCAATACAGTTAGGCATTTTACACGTGCTATCTAATCCTAGCACAGTAGCCAACATATAGCATCGAATGTCAAGTGTTAGGAAGTATTAATTTTTTAAGTTCATTCGTGATGAAATTTTGCAAAATGGACCCAGTTGGGTTATCCTGTTGTTTTATTAATGCATAATGTATATGCTACCTACTTTCAGAGACTTGGAGGCTATGTCTGCTTAGTTTATTCCCATTTTATGAGTATAAACTGGGAAACAGTTTTTGCCTCTAGTTGTTTTGTGACAAGGCAGTGTGAGTGTAATGTTATACTACTGTAGCAAGGCATTGTATAAAGCATTAAAAGGCTTGTGTGCAACTCAAAAAATGGAAAGAGGTTCATTTTAAAATTGTTATGTCTAGCTTGGGGAATTGATTTTTCCAAAGGTTTTTTTTTCCCCCCAAGTTATTGTATCAATTTTTGAAGAGCAGCAGAATTCAAGTTTCTAGTATATTATGGAAGTACTAATTTCTTTGGCAACCTTGTTAAAGCTGTTTTGAATGTATTTAGTAATGTCAACAGAGTTTGACCTATTTTGCTTTATCTTACTGTCAATAATGTATAAACTTACAAAGTCTCACATACTTAAGTGAGCCCTTTAAGCTTTTGATGTCTTAAAAAAAGTAGTTTAATGTGACAGTAATGGTAATTTTTATGTACTTAATGTCAAATACATGACAGCTAGACATACAGCATGACTTTTGTTTAAGAAAAGTGTTTCTGACTTTTGCTCTTTTCCCAAGCCTTTGAATTTGGGGTCCATGTGTGTTGAGGAGGTAGCACGCTTCATTTCTGAGCGTTAAAACACTCTCAGAAGGACTGTTCCCCTGACAATATCTCTGAGATTTGTCTTTAGTCATTCTGCCTTGTCCTTTCTCAGAGCACCCTGTGATGACTTTAAGAAAGTACTTGGGTGCTGTGTGGTAACTGTGTCAGCAAACTGGCCGAGGGCAGGAATTTTGTCTTTGTATGCTTAGCATGGTACGGTTAATATATTAGTAGGGGCTCAGTAAATATATGTTGAATGAATGAGAAAAAATGGCGTCTATGAAAATAGTTGCACATTTGATTGAAGGGTGCTTGTGTGCGCTTATTTATTTTGTCTGTTGTTAATTATGATATACAAACCTCTAGATCTCTTATCAAGAGAAACCTTGTGGAACACAGTGAGAAATGAACAGTTTTTCCAGGTGAATTTTGAATAGTCAGATCACTGAGGTTCCTCAGAATGTCTTTGAAGAGACCTATATATTAACTGTTACGGACTCTCCTTTTCATTGTGTTTGTTAGAACTTGAAATGTGCAGAGAGATTCTTAGCATGGCAGAAAAAGGCTTAGTAATTAAGGATTTCCAATGCAACAAGAGAGAACCCAGTCCTGCTATACTAAGGGACTTTTTTTGTTGGTGTAAGTTGGGACATGTTTTCCCTTATTAACAATAGGCTTACAGTGATAGGATGATTTTAAATTGTTCTATGAAGTGATATATAAACATGAGGACTGCTTTTAATGTCATTTTGGATGTGTATATGGGGTGGGGGTTTCCCACGTGGTACTAATGCAATAGATGAGTTTTTGGTGTTTATCGGTTAAGAAATTAAATAGCAAAAAGCAAAGAGGAATTCAGCAAAGCTTTTCATTGAATTTATATTTTATTAATCACAGAAGCTACCTGATTCTAAAAGAAGTAGTGCATAAATCTTGGCATATTTATTATTTAGTCTACTTTTGGAGTCTACCGAATTTAGTAAGACGCACAAGATCAGAAATTCAGTCAACCAAAATGTGTGGAGCCTGACTCAGAGACATCATCCTGGGCACAAAGATGTTTTTGACCTGAAGGAGCTTCTCCGCTAGTAGGGGAGATAGTCACTAAGCACAAGATTATGAATTAATTGGTTTCAAAGTGTGGCAGGTGGGGAACAGGCTGTGAGGTAGTGAGTGGCCACACTTGTAACTCACTGAGTCCGGTGTTAAAGACTGAGTCACTGAGGAAGTGATCTGTGAGCTGAGACCCACAGGATGAGCAGGAGTTGGGTGGGGGAGGGGAAGGGAAGGGATAGGTGTGGTCCAGGTAGCAGGAGGCCCTGAAGCAGGAGAGAGCATGGTGGGTCCATGGCTCTGAGAGGATTCTGGGTTGTTAGGTGTGGAGGAGCGAAGAGCATGCCATCTCATGACATTTGATAGAGAAGCAGCAGTGGGATCAGACAGAGCTGTCTGGACTTCATTCTAAAGGCACTGGGAGCCATTGAAGGATTTGATGTAAGGAAGTGACCTGATCAGATTTGTATTTTGGGAGGGTCAGGAAGTATGAAACCCACTTGTTGGGAACTGTTGGTTTAGCCTAATTGTTCTAGAGTTGGAATTGATAACCTGAGAAGTCCCCTTAGTAAATTGTGTGGAGGTAAAATGGGGTCATTTCTAGTAGCTTAGGTACTCCAGGTATATACATATACTTTTGAAATATATACATGTGAATATGTATGAAATACATATGAAATACAATAGGAAAATACATATGAAATACAATAGGAAAATAATTTTGATCTGTTGAAGAGAACATCTTAGTGTTAATGTTAATGCTACTTTTCACTGCCATGCTGTTATAACCCTAGTATTGAAGGAAACACTTTATTGACATGAAGGGAAAGCCTTGCAAATGCTCATTTCCAGAGTAAATTTCTGGGACAGATTTACCTGGGCTGAGTATGAGGGGAGACAGTCTGAGGTTGTGCCTCTCTTTTGACAGAAAGCATGGTGTTTGGGTACTAACACGCGTTACTAGAGTCTTTCTTGGATTTCCTAGAGCGGAAAGGTCAGTACCAATGAACAAAGGCTTTTACTCTTGCCACTTCTGGTCTGAGGTACTCCAGGGAATGTCAAATGCTTAATATTTTGCCAGTGTTTTAGTGACAAAGGCTGTCCACTCAGACCTACCGGATACAGTGTGGGAATCCAGGTGGATTTTTTTTTTCTAGTTTGTAGGGAAGAGCATGGAAGTGGGGTACAAAGATGATAAAATGGAAAAAGAATCCTCATAGAACTTGCCCCACAGTGAGAAGGGACATGACCTTGGTGACTTGGCCTTAGAGAAAGCTGAGTGGGGGCCAAGGAGTGTGCATCTTAGAAGAGATGATGGTATGTTTTAGATGAATACCACTCTGTTGTTTCTGATCATGTTCTTACATTCTATAGTGTTGCCAGAAAGGGCTTGTGTTCTTTTCATTCATCCCTTTGGAGCTAGCAGCCGGTGTTTCCCTGCACTGAGATCAGAGTCTGTAGTGACTAAGGGCACAGACTTTTGATCCTAGTTCAGCCACTTATAGGCTGGATGACTTTGATTGGGTTATTATTGTGGAGGCGGTTTCCTCCTCTGTAAAATGGGCATGTAGTTTTTATTACTGAGGGTCATTATGAGGATTAATGAGATGCTTTATGTAGAGTACCCAGCATGATGCTTGGTGCGTAGTAAACACTACATAATGATATTTGCTACTATTACTAAGTATGAAAAAGCTGGTTTATGCAGAGTATTGGTATCATCGGCACCATAGGAAGGTACATAATAAGCAAGAAACCTGCAAGTCCCTTCCCTGATGGATTATGCGTCTAGCATATTTTGTTGGTAAATCCTGGCAGGCTCTTTCATTCATGAGTAGGTAGATATTTAACAGTTATCCCTTTTAATTTCATGGGCAGAGCATTCCTTATGAGATACTAACAGCAAAGCTTTATGGCATATGATTCATTAATCCTTCTATTAAGACACCATCTCTCTTTTGCTCATGGAACCTGTTCTTAGTGATCAGTTATTAAATAATATCCTGCAAGTCTTTATGAACATGTAAATTGCTAGCTGCACCCAGGGATTTAGTCAGAAGGCAGTGTGTCAGCTGTGTGCTGGGTCTGGTGACATGACCATGTACTTCATTTAAGCGTCCTAGAATAATGATTTGGGGGATGAGAAAGGAGTAGGAAGGAAATCAGGTGATTATCTGGAAGTAACCAAGCTTGGTTCATACAAGCATGAGGGATGGGGCAAGGCAGATGATTTGCAGCCATCCCAACTTCTCAGAGGGGAAATCTGTTAGGAATGCAACAGAACTTTAAAAAATGCAAGACCTCCTGTATGCAGATTATCTAACACAAATTCTGTTTTGTCACCTTGGAATGGTATAAACGTTTTGTTTTTTAAGACAAAAATGCAAATAACCTAGTAGCCCTTTTGATGTAACTCAAGCTGGTGCAGTGATTGCAGTTCACTTCTCTTCCAAACAACAGGTGATCTGCCCTGTGCACTTCTTGACATTTACACAGCTTTGCATCATTTAGTTCAAAGGATCTTGTTCTCTTTTATGTGTCTAGTATTTTGTCTGGCTTCTTATTTGATGATGATATTTTAGGTTAAAGCATACTGAAATACAAAATGAAGCAGAGTCGGCTTCGCCAACAGTTTCTGTGCATTTGTGTTTCTCCCTCTCTTTGCTCTTCTCTTACCGCCCTCTCACCGGGTTCAGAATTCCTAGGAGGGATTGGATAATAGTTACCTGTGCTTCCAGGCTTAGGAGAGAAAGCCACACCCTAAATGTAAAATGTTGGTTCAGGACTGTGGTTCGTGGTACAGTCACATACTCTGAAGTCACATTTAACTGTATGGAACTTCTGTGAAATTCCTGGTGTCTATTCCAGCCTCCCTTAATGAAAAGCAGTCACTGCTTATTTAATGATTTGAATTCATAACTAGACACGTGTCTGTGAGACAGCTTATAAATTTGTATCCTAGGCCTCTACTCTTGCCAGCCCATCAATTTGCCTCTCAGACACAGTCAATATAATTTTGATTATGATACTTACTTCCACTGAACCTTCCAGTCCAAATGCTTTGTAGTGATACTGGGGAAGGGGGAATGATGGTAGGTGGGAGGGAGATGGAATACTGACACATTGAACTTCTTTTCTTAACTAATTTCATGGGCTATCATGTGGAAAATGAAAATTTAATTTTAATGTTCTTGGTTTGTGCTTTTGCGGTGTTTTCAGCAGACAGCAAGATCACAAGTGCACCCAATTTAAGGTAGATGAGAGTCTGTTAAACTCACATCAGATGTGGGTCTTTTGGCTTCTGCCTGAGAACTTGGCTAGCTGCTCTTTAATAAGCTGAGAAGTTAGGTGTGTTAGTTCCTTTCTGGCTGGTGATTTTGTGCCTTTTTATGTTTGTCTAACAAAAATAATCTCTGACTTCCTTATTAACATTTTTCTTCTCAGGCATTTCTTCACACAGAAATCGATGTACCTGCTGCAATGCCGGAAGGGCCCCAGGGCCTCATCAGTGGTAGGGAGACTAAGTTACATTGGGTTAAAATTGGAGGTTAAACTATTATGTCAGTGTACACAGTCACTGAGACTGACATTCACAAAATCCACACATTTGAAATTACTTCTTGGGGCAGTCATAGACAGCAAAACTGCATTATGGTATTGAAATGGAATGAAGTGATGAAATCAATTTTGTGTATAAAAGTTCAACTAAATTAGTTGAACTTTTTATGAAATAAATTAGTTCCATATAAGCCTATCTAGTCCTACACAAGACAAACTCACAAAACTTGCTTTTCACTCACATCCTTTTAGCTGGAGTGGCTTGATTGAAATAACCTGAGTCCTCACCTGGGCTTCATTTTAAGAGTGGCTCTGAGGATACTTAAATGCAATGAAGAAGAGGAGGGGAGGATTGCTCTAGAGTAGAAAACAGCCCCAGAGAAAGAAATACAGAAAGGTTTTACTTTAGGAGGAGGGTTTCAGACATCCCAAATGAGTAGAATATATATATATGTATACATACACATACCTGGAAAACCCAAGAAAATGTTGTCTTTCCTGTCCTCATGGCTCTTAGCAGGCTGGTAAGTAGAAGCGCTTTGTTAAGTCTGTGCAAACTTAGTTTGAAAATTGAGGGTGCCTGAGCAGGAGAGTCAAGTAAGAAGACTGTCTCTTTGCCTTACATTTTGGTACTTTACTGTTCAGAATATTACATTGGTAAATTTTAATTCACATACTGTTTTCTTTCCTTGGAATTTTTCGGTTATTTGTTCTACAGGCATTGACCAAGTTTCCCTAACTGGCTACTCTGGTTTATTGTTGCTTGGGGAGTGGGACATTCCCCAAAGAACCTGCCAGACCTTCGAGGAGCAGCTTTAGTCCATGGTGATGAGTGGGTCCTTACCATGATGCAGGTTCTCTTTTCAGAGGACAAGGGATTAAAGGAAAATGACAGCTTTGAACTCTCTCGATTTTTCTCCTTAGAAACATCAATATAATTTTTGTTTTTAAGATTTCCACTTTTGACATTAAAACATTTCTATCTAGAGAAAGCTCAGCCTAAGTGTGCGAGCAACCTGAGGGCAACAGTTTTAGAACGATAGGGTAAGACTGGCTGGGAAGAGTTATGCTAGTAGAGTAATAATGACAGTTTTGTAACCTGCTAAAATCATACAGTTTTATATTCTTTTAAAGTTATTTCTGAATCACCAGTTTCTGTGTATCAGGTTGCCTGTCATTCCTTGTTCTTATTTTTGCTCGTTTCTTTTCTTCTTTTCTATCTGTAGCTTCATCATCAGAATTTAAAAAAGACTACAACAAACCACTTTAGCTAGAAGATTGCAGAAAAACCTCTTGTTAAACAGAATGTTTGGGGGTAAAGCCTTTTTTGGTGACTGAATTTTATGATTCATAAAGGATTAATTTGTAAGTTCTTTTTTTATCTCACCTTGTTGCTTACCTCTTTTTCTATAATGTCATGGTGTGTTTTCCTGCCTTACAATTCTGTGCTGAACAAGCTTTTTTTTTTTTTTTTTTTTTTTAAATAATTGGATGTCTTGTAGTGCTTTAGGGCTCTCACTCTGAGCACCAATCATCTTTGAAACTATTGAAGATGTGAAGGTAGAAAGTGAATATAAAATTGTGCTGTTAACAAGTTATCTTGATTTCTTTTTTCTCCCTTTAAAAGCTGAAGTTAGCAAAATAAGTTCTGTTTTTTGGAGGGTTGTGCTGCATTATTTTTGTTCCTGCTTTGTGCCAGGTTTTGTATATGTTGTTAATATTTGTAGAGTACTTACAGTTTGCACAGCCTTTTCTCATATTGCTTATTTTCTATACATTTCTCTTTGTAAATCTCTGTCTCCCACTAGTTTGTAAGCCCCTCAGATGGAAACCATGTCATATCAACTCAAGTCTTCCAACAGAGCAGGGTGCATAGCATATCGTGGATAATAAAAATAATATATGACCCTAAATTGCAGCTGAGACATAATGTGTGTGGCAAAACACCATTCTGAATGTGCATTTGCTCATTTAAATTAAATATTAAATGAGTTTATGAATTTACTCATTTAGTTTTTACACAAGCCTTTTTGATGTTCAATTCATAATTAACTTGGTATACACTATCATGTTACAGCTAAGTGACCCATTCAACCTCATACAAGTGAGGAAGAGAATAGTAGGGAGATAATGGGACAAGGGCAGGTTTGAGGAGATATCAGGCCTCTTGGTCATATCTGCATCCCATAGCCTAGCAAGGAACCTTGCTGATGTGGCACACAGTGATCGATTGCTGAATAAATCATCTGTGCACTTAGCTTAAAGGTTTAGATTAAGTGTTTGTAGAACTTCTGTTAAAGTTAGTGCCAAGACTTAAAGCTGCCATAATCCTGGGTTTTAGGACATCAGTGAATAGGATGAGTGAGTTTCTACAAATGAAAGCGTTTGCCTGTAAACCAATTCTTATTTTCCTGCTGGCTTTGGGAAATTGTATCCTGCCAGGATAATTCCTGATTATTCATTAAAATCACACTTGTAGCAGTTAAGACATTTTTGGCCACATGTTAAAAGGAATTATTTTGATTTCTGATGAAGTATTGACAGCTAACTTTAACATGTTAATAGTAATGTTGGGCTGTACTCAGTTCTCGGGGTAATGCTGCTGTGAGTGGAAATGGATTGCAGGAATTTCATCAGTAGTGGATGTGTTGGCCTGGAAATTGGGAAATCTGAACTATTGCCTTGGCTTCTTGCTAGGCAAATTATTAGCATCTCTGATCCTCATCTATGATGAAATAAGAGGTCTTTCTTAGCTCGTTTTTTTGTTTGCCTCTTATTATAAAACATTACCTTAAAAACTTAGTTTTTATCACTCTACTTTTTTAGGACCTGTTGATTGATGTTTTTCTTTTGACAGACTTCATAATTGGTGGTGTTTTCTGATTTGTCAATAGGCACATATTATTTCTGTCCCCCCAGCTTTATTAAAGTATAATTGATAAAAAAGTATATATATTTATGGTGTACAACACAATGTTCTGACATGTATACATTCTGAAATGATTAAATCAAGCAAATTATATCCATCACCTCGCATGCTTACCATGTATTTTTTTTTTTCTTTCTTTTTTTTTTTGACAGAGTCTCCTTGTGTTATCCAGGCTGGAGTGCAGTGGTGCAAGATATTGGCTCACTGCAACCCCTGCCTCCTGGGTTCAAGTGATTCTCATGCCTCAGCCTCCTGAGTAGCTGGGATTACAGGCATGTACCACCATGCCTGGCTAATTTTTGTATTTTTAGTAGAGACAAGGGTTTTACCATGTTGGCCAGGCTGGTCTTGAACTCCTGACCTCAGGTGATCCACCTGCCTTGGTCTCCCAGAGTTCTGGTATTACAGGTGTGAGCCACTGTGCTTGGCCCATTCATTTTTTTCTTTTTTTTTTTCCCCTGATGGAGAGAACATTAAGGTCTGTGTGTATATTCTTGACAAGAATTCTCACAAAGACCCTTACTCATGAATTCTGCCTTTCAGATAATGCTTACATAGGAATATGTAGATTACTTATATGTTCTGCTTTAATTCTTTTACAATTACTTGTCCCTTTCAGTATCTCTAGCAAGTGTTGAGGGTACTGTCTCTCACCTCCTAATCCCTGCAGAGAAGTTTGACTCCAGAGAGAATACGGTCAGTTCTGTGTTGTTGTTGTTCTTTTTGAGATGGAGTTTTACTCTGTTGCCCAGGCTGCAGTGCAAAGGCACGATCTCGGCTCACCATAACCACTGCCTCCTGACTTCAAGCAATTCTCCTGCCTCAGCCTCCTGGGATTACAGGCATGCGCCACTACACCTAGCTAATTTGTATTTTTAGTAGAGATGGGATTTCCCCATGTTGGTCAGGCTGGTCTCGAACTCCCAACCTCAGGTGATCTGCCTGCCTAGGCCTTCCAATGTGCTGGGATTAGAAGGGTGAGCCACCATGCCCAGCCCAGTTCTGTGTTCGTCTTGATGTTGGAGCACTCTGTTTTGTCATCTCACCCATTCTAGTTCTTGGGCTTCTGGGTGGCTTTTGAAATACTTAGATACTTTGAATCTCTGAGCATGGCACTTCAGGTTTAGAATAAGTCTTGTAATGAAAGACCGGTAGAACCAGCAGGGAAAGCAGGTGGAGAATGTGAGAATTTTTTTCATGTACAGGGTAACTTTAGAACCTGTGAATTAGATCTTAACTATCTGAGCTCGGACTGTCCTTTAGAAAATGCTGTGGTGTGGCTGTTGAGTTGTTTTTGAAGTAATCTTAACACTAGAAGGTATTGTTCTAATCACAAAGAATGGCTTTTGGTGCTAACTCCTGGAGACTGAGTGCGGAATTCTCCCTAGATTTTTTTTTTTTTTTTGCAAATCCTTGGATCAGTGGCAGAGTCTGCAAGCTCCAAACAGAAAGGCTTGGGTATGGATTTTACTGCTGCCTGGGATGATTTTGTTTGGGCTACATGTTACAAGTCTATCACTCCTGTGTCCTAGACCAACTACTTGTGATTTTAAAAAATTAATCTTTTATTTAAAAAGGTTTGTAGGATCTCTGTTCTCCTAAGCAGTCAGGGCTTTCCTGTGTGTTCTGGACAGCTGCTCAGCCCTTGAAGTGGACTAAATGTCTATTTGCACAGTTAAGTTACAGTCTATCAAAACTTGTTTTTTTACCAATGTGCTGCTTTTTGTTGTTGTTTAGTTTGTTTGTTTTTGAGACAGTTTCAGGCTCTGTTGCCCAGGCTGAAGTACAGTGACACTATCTCAGCCCACTGCAGCCTCTGCCTCCCAGGCTCAAGCCATCCTCCCACCTTAGCCTCTTGAGTACCTGGGGCTACAGGTGCATACTACCACGCACAGCTAATTTTTTTTTTTTTTTTAATAATGGGTTTTGCTGTGCTGCAGACTGGTCTTGAACTCCTGGGCTCAAGAGGGTCTTGAACTCCTAGGCGGAACTAGGGTGATCTGCCCACCCTAGACTCCAAAAGTGCAGGGATTACAGGAGTAAGCCACCGTGCCCTGCCTGTTTTTTTTTTTTTTTTAAACAAAGACAATTCTCAGTTCTGGACTAAGCTATTGGTGAGCTGTTTCATAAGTTCGTTTGAAAGTCAGTTGTTTGGAACTTGGAGTGTGTGGTACTATAGAAACTAATGGGTGTGAAGCCAACCAAAAGAAACCACCATCTTGGCATGCATCTGTGCTTTAGTTTCCTTTAGCGCCGCTAGAGAGTACCACAAACTAGGTGGCTTAAACAACAGAAATTTATTGTCTCACAATTC